ATGGTAGGACCATTCAACTATGAGCATATGGGATCTTTGGCGTAAGTTTATTGTAATGTAGATATATTGGTTCAGACAGAGCTATCGCAGATTTACCGTTTGGAATCAAATCTACCGGTGTATTGACACACTTTTTCTGGAGATCTGCGTATCTCAGCAAGTAGGATTACACTAACCTAGTCTTTTTGCATTCAGAAATAGATGTTTGGTCGCATTTGACTGGACCAAAAAGAATTTGTTTGGCAGAGATATTTCAAGAGAATAAACTTTATTTGCAGCTAATGGTTTTTAGTTGATTTCGCGACAACAAACTAAATTGTGAACTTGGATGCCAATTCAATCCACACTAGCAAACGCTCCGATATCCAGTATAAATCCGGTGTTGGTTCACTAAACCGCCATCAACTGACCATCCACCCAACTTTACGCCCCATATCGTCATCACTTTCAAAAAGCTTATTTTATGAAAGCCAAATCAGTCTCATTCGACCTCAGACACAGGCAAACGCCTTCCAAACCCCAAACGGATTTAGTTGATTCGATGCAAAAACTTCGGGTTACCAAAAACTTTCACGCATACCCAACATACACTCGAGCAATGAAAATACCTCCAGCATTGAAGAATAGCACAGACCCTCTCATCACTTCAATGCAGAAATTAGAAATTAAGAAAAAACGATACACGCCTTACACAAACCCATACCAGAAACTGTCGAAATTGCCTAAATCTGCGAACCCGTATGCAATGCCGCTTGCAAATGAAATTGAAGAAAAGTATGAAATTATTATCGCTAATCCAGAACCCGCGCAGACTTACAATTTCATTTCAGTTGGACAACTCTTGCATGCGGGAAACTCTGAAAAATAGTATCTTGAATCCTCTTCCCAATAATAAATTCGTTCCTACAAGATTAGATTGACCGTTTCCAAATTTTTTCTTTTCAAGATCTTGCAAAATGGTTATGTCAAAAACTGCAAAGAATTTTGCAAAGTTTGCAATGCGAGGAACTCCTAAAAATGCATTGAAAGCATTTTCTTCATGTTCCTCAAAAAAAGGCAAGTTGAAACTAATTTTTTAGCGTTCGGAATTTCATCCAAACCAGCAAGTGTTCCAAGATTATCTTCGCTGTTATCTCCTATCCCTCCAACGATTTCTGGGGCTGGAAGCGCTATTCCAATTGTAGCTCTAGTACGAGGGATGGTTACTACTGCAAATAATCAGTTGACGGAAGGAATAGAAGAAATCCCTTCTTTAGCGGAAAGAATCACTTTGGGAAGCGCAGTTGAAGCTGGAGAAGAATTAGAAGCATTAATGAGTAAGATAATGAGTGGTACCAGTATGCTAACGTAGATTCATCTTTAGCAATGTCTTGCAGAGAAGGCGTTACAGTAATAGTAGATTTCCATGCAAGTTGGGTAACCCTCGATTTAATCGTAGTGTGGGCCGTGTCGTGTATTAGGGCCGCTATTAGAAAGTGAAGTAGCTAACAGTAAAAAATCTATTTTGCTGAAGGTTGATGTGGATGCTGCTCCAAATGTTGCCGAAAAGTACAACGTAAATTATTGTTAAAGCAGATTTCTTCACTCCCTACCGTGAAAGCTTTCAAGAATGGCAAGGAAATTGACTCGTTCATTGGATCTAGGAACAAAGCTTTTGTAACAAAGTTCATTGAATCTGCAATTTCCAAATGATTAATAAATACAGTCGTATTTTAATTGTAATTCCCAAGGATTTTATTATGAATTATTCTTCAGCTGGCTTGGCACCCATCGAGGTGGATTCCTTTAAAGCAAGCAACTGTCTGGTTCTAAAGTTTTCATAGTGAATCATTGCTGTGGTTTCAATCAAGTCTTGCAAGTGGGTTCTAGTCAAAAAGTTTCTCATTTGTGCAAATTCACAGTGGGTCTCGTCTTCAACTACGATTAGCAATATTAACCATTGATGATGCCGGAGCGGGTTCTTCTACCTCTGATTGCCTTTCCGCTTGCATCGGCGACATTCTTTTCTGAACCAACAACTGCGAATGGAACCAAATTCTCGGATTAAAATGAAATACCTTCAAGTTTTGAATAGCAGCTTTGTTTGCTCTGTCTGCTTCACTTCCAGGAATGTTGAATTCGTCATCCATATCTGCAGATGGATAAGTCTTTATTCCATGGAAATCAATTTCTTGTTTAATCCGCTTTTTGAAAGCCAGTCTTTCTTCAAGAGTCAATGAATCCGCTTTTGCAATAACAGGGACAACATTGGCAAACTTTGAAATCTTCTTCATCACCGTAATATCTAGAGGAGTCAAAGCGTGTCCAGTTGGTGCAATGAAATATAATACTACATGAACACGTGTGTCTGGTATTCTCTGCTCTCTTTGCGGAGTACTAAAATAAATCGCGAATTACAGCTCCTTTCTGAGATATAAAGAATATTGGTCCTTGATGTATTTGATTATTGGCTCCCAGCTAGTGTTAAGCTAAATATACCAAGCGTCGTTGTTGACTTGGTCTCCGTATCCTGGAGTATCTGTGATCGATAACTTTAAGCGGACGTCGTTTTCTTCGAGAACTACTGTTATTTACTATGTACTAGCTGTAGTGGTAGATACTTCTGTAGTTTGCTTTTGAGACACTCCTTTAGAGTCAACCAAGTGTGTAGCAAACAAAGTGTTGACCATAGTCGATTTTCCTAGCCCGGAACGTCCTGGATTTAAACGTCAAATACCAACAACCATAATATTGAAAGAGAATCCTCGTTTAACTAATTTTGATTCGATTTGCTTTGTGATGGTGTCAAATCCAACGTATGAGTTTGGAACAGCCTGAAATTACTACTGTGAGTACCTTTCTAACATCCTGCGCAGCTACAGACATTTTTGAAAAGTGAGAAAGCGTGAATTTCCTCCATGTAGGCTTCAAAGTGGCTTTTTGCGGTTACCTCTAGCGGTTTGGATATCAAAAGAAAAATATTAAATTTTTAAAATGGCACCGCTAAGAAACCTCTCTCGTTCAGTAAGAATCATTGGTGCTGGGATGACCAAGTTGAACCCGGCAACTGCAGAAAAAGTTTCGCCTTCGGGATTAATGAAGGACGCCTTATTATCAGCATTGGATGGCGCTGGACTGAAAGTGTCTGATATCAATGGTCTAATTGCAGTACCGTCATTAGCAGAGACTCATTTCATGGAAGCGCACTATATTGCAACTAAAATTGGATTATTGCCTGGAAAATCAATTGTTGTCAGGACAATGGTAAATATTTTTAATTCAAGGACACTGGCGGTGCAGGTCCGATTACTGGTTTATTAGAAGCAAAAAGAATGGTTTTGATGGAAGGTGCGGATCTGGTTGCAGTGGTAGCTGGGGATGCAGTCAAATCAATGACATCTGAAGAATTTTTGAAAAGGGCCGACCAAACCTGCCAAGATCCAGATTTGAACCTGAATTCACCGGTTATTCCATCAGGGTACGATAGAATTGCGCAATACCAAATGGCAAAGTTTGGTACTACTAGAGAACAATTGGCCATGTGCTCAGCTTTAATGTCAATTATGGCTTCCAGACACCCAAACGCTCTGACTAGAAAGCCGCGGTCGCTTCAAGAAGTTCTTGATTCGCCTCAAGTCGCACCTGCAACTAACGTTTTGGAATGTGCTAGACGTGCAGATGGCGGCGCAGCTATTCTGGTTGCATCTTCCAGGTTCTTGGAAAGAAAAGGGTTGTCCAAGTCTACCGGTGCAGTTATTATTGGAGGTGGGGAAGCATCAGGTAATTTTGCATTAATTAAGGCCCGCTATTTCCCCCAAAAGATATCGAATCTATAACAGAAACCAGCTTCTCGTGTGAAGAAGCAGTTGCATTGGCATTAGAAGAAGCCCAGTTGAGTGTCAGAGACATAGACTTTTTTGGGTTATACGACTGTTTCCCAATCTGTTTGATCCGTGCAATCGAAGCTGTCGGTTTAGCCCCAAAAGGTAGAGGTGGTGCGTACGTTGAATTGATGTATCACAAGATTCTTGAAAGTACGAAGAGAGACCAGAGTTTCCGACCGCAAGATGTTTTCCCTGTTAATACACACGGAGGATTATTGGCATTTGGTGCGCCGTGGGAAGTACCTGCCATGTACAACATTATTGAGGCTTACACACAACTAATTGGACAAGCTGGTGGCAGACAGGTAAGAGATGCTAGCAGAGCATTAGTTTATGGTAACGGCGGCATCTTTTCGCATAGTGCTGTTGCTGTCTTGGGCAATGGCCGCTATTAATTTAACTAAACCCATATATTTATTTAATTGTGCTGCGAATTTCTCATTTTACTGAAACTAAACTTGCAAAAAGAGATTCCGGCGGGGATCGAACCCGCAATCTTTGGATTAGAAGTCCAACGCCGTAACCATTTGGCCACGGAACCTTGACACACTTTCAGGCTGTGCATACACGAATCAACTCAGCCGGATGAAAACTGCTTTCACCACATCTAACTAATTTGGCTCTGTTTGAATGATTCTTTTGATGCGTAGCCCATTGATCCTTTGCTGATTTTCTCCAATGGATCCAAACAGTATCCGTTGCATATTGTGTTGTTTCCACGTAGCCTGCAATATAGAACAATGTAACCTGCATTCTGCCCAAAACGGATATTAATCCATGCAAGCGCAGATAACGGAGCTGTCAATCAATCATAACTGGACTATTGTTTAACAAGCAAAAAAATAGATTCCGGCGGGGATCGAACCCGCAATCTTTGGATTAGAAGTCCAACGCCGTAACCATTTGGCCACGGAACCTTGTGGCTGAAAAATATAGAATATCTATAATCAAAACCACTCGACCCAAAATCAGAAATTAATCCAGATATTCGCTGATAAATGATTTAAACGTTAAAAATCTTCATTACAACTTATGAGTAGACAAAGGTAGAGTTATCTACTCGAGTTAGCTGTAATTACCGAATTGAAATTTAAAATCTCTTCTGTTCATGGAAGTTCACCTCAAAGAAGCCACCGTGGTTCCGTGGCCAAATGGTTACGGCGTTGGACTTCTAATCCAAAGATTGCGGGTTCGATCCCCGCCGGAATCTCGTTTTTTACCTTTTCGAATATTCCCAGCTGGAAGCAGTGTCTGTTTACAATTTCAAACAACCGTGCAATAACACGCGTCAGTGCACAAATTTTTAATTTCCATTTTAATTTAGATCTGCTATTTAATCAACAATTGATTAGGAAATCTTTTTAAACAAAGGAATCTATAGTAGGAAATCATTGTTTATTTTTTTCATTACAAACACAAATATGTATTTCCATTTGCTCCTGTCGGCGATTAATGCTGCAAAAATATCAGATATACTTTCAAATACACCGAATCTTTCCAAAGTCGCTGGTGCAATTCAATCAAATCCTGACTGGAGCGCGAATGGTAGTTTCACGCTGTTTGCGCCTGCCAATGATGCCAGTAACCTTGGCTCATTACCAAGTGGGGATTTAGGCTATGTATTTGTGAAATCTGCCATCACTCCATCGCAATATCAAATTATTGATGATGTATCTGGAAAGAAAACGGTTGTTATGCGTAACTCCATGCTAATTTAGAAAATCTAAATATCAGATACGGATTAAATTCTGGAACGATTAAACAAGTCACTGCGGATAATGGATTTGTATATATAAGCACAATTGGATTGGGGCCGCCAGGTTCTCCAACCGACACTTTAAAATCGCTGGGATGCGACATGTTGCTGAAGGCTATTGACTCTGCTGGAATGACAGATTTCTTAAACGGGCTAAACGGCTATACCTTGTAACTTTGATTAATCTAGTTTTGCTCCGACGGATGATGCTATCAATGGTGCTCTGAGTTCTTTGGTTAGCTTGACCAAAACCCAATTGCAAGCACTGTTGGCGTACCATATTCTCCCAAAGACAATGAAAAGCACACTAGCAAGTTCAGGAAACTTTGATACTTTATTAGTTGGAAGCCAACTGCCTATTAAAGCTACCTCAACTGGAGTTTTCGTTGGTACTGGCCATCCAGACACAGGAATCTTTTCACTTGCAGACAACTTTGCAACTGGCGGGGTAATTCATAGAGTTGATTATGTGCTGATTCCACCAAACATGCCCAGCGGAAATGCAGCTGTCAATATCTCTGGATTTGCAGGCGCTGGACCATCCTCTGCAACTACAACTGCTACCACCTCGTTCTACACTACCGTGCCTTTCCCAGTAAATACAAAGAGTGATGAAGAGCGCATGTATCCATTCGCTGTATCAATTCTTGGATTAGTGATTGGCTTATTGTTCTACTAGTTTGAATAAAGGATTTATTAATCATTTCACATTACTGGGCAGTTGGATTGCTCCGCTACACCAAGCACCATTGTCATCAAACCAACTGATAAATCACTCGTGGATTCGCCTAATCTGGATTTCAGTTTTCTAATTGCATCCAAGTCGTGCTCAAACTCCAATTCGTTAAAGATTTCAGTCAGCCACCAAATACTCTTTCCATGCTGATTCTCGACTGTGATATCTTTAATCCCCAGAATTAGAGCTTGAGCTCCCCAGTCGCCATATAGCACACCATTCTTAATACCAGACAAAGCGCCTTTCAAAACACCTTTTGCGGTTGTTAAGGCACCAGTAACCGGTCTTTGTGATAACGCTGCTGCTTGTACTTCAAACGCTACTCTAGCAAACTGATTATCGCTAGTGAAGAATAAACCGGGTATAGTAACATGTCCAACAGTAGATCCATTCAATAATGAACGAAACCTAATCTTTCCCAATGAAAAGTTGCAACCCGGAACTTTGCTGAACTTAAAGTTCATTCCCGCTTCTACAAATCTCAGCCCAGGATTTGCAAAAGGGGTGATTTCTGGATCTGGAAATAAATCATTCAGCCAGGAAGGTGAAGTCAATTGCCGTTTTTTGGGAAGTAACCAAGATAATTTGAATTTCTGCTTGGGTGGATTTTCAGCAGCCGGCTTTGGTGCATCTATGGTCAGGTACAGTTACCAAGGAGCTCTGCAAGATCTATTACTTTTTTACATTCAACTCTGTCAAATGTAATCAATCCCATAACGGATACTGTTAAATTGAAGGAAATTTCTACTGACAGCTTTGAAAGCTCCTTGGCTCCCATAACAGACATCCGTTTAATCCATGTCTTTACGGCGTGAACGTCATCACATAAATCTACATTAATTATCTGTCTGAGTTTCAAATCTGCCTTCCCGTTAATTTGCAATGGGGATGATAAATCTACTATTGCAATTTTCGACTGTGTTCCTACATCCACCACATGTATTGTTGGTATTTGGACACTCACCCATAGCCATTCAATCGGTAATTTTGAGTCTATAACTGTAGAATAAAGTAAAAAGCCAAATCCCCGTTCATTTATAGATTGTAACTGTAGCTGGTGGACTATTCCTTGTGCATCCAGTGGTGCATCAGAGACGATTTGTTGCAATATTTTGGGAAACAAATGGAATTTCAAATACAGGTAAAATGCAAATACTGCGAGCATCCATCCTGCTAGCTGAGGTAATATCTTTGAAGGATCGAACCAACTCATATATCGTGGATTTTCGATGCGGAGTAAAGTTCATCAAGCACATGACTAAACTATTATTTAGTATGCTACAAATAAAGCCGGTAGTCTGACCTGCTTGAAATTTATTTAAATGCATACTAATTTCCCTGGCTTACTAAAGGAGACGCAACTTGCACTTTCATCTTACAATTGGTGAATAGCGCAACGAGTTCATCCGAGTAAGACTTCCTAGATGCCCACATCCTTGAACCTATTTCCAAAACCACTAAATTCAAATCCGTCTTTTGTGCCAATCGAATCAAGAGGCGTTCCATTGTATCTCTGCTAATCGTAAACAAATCATAATCGGAATCGATTGGTCTTGAAATCCTCACTGTCAATTTCTGCAATCTCGGCATGCATCTGATTATTCCTTGAACCATTATTGCAAAATCGCCAGCATCTGGCTGCATATAATGTAACCCAATGTTTACCAAATTTCGCATTGGCAGTTCTCCTTTACTTTCCAAATAATATGGCGGGCTGTATGAAGGTAGCAGGATCCAAAAATCTGGCGTGGTTACATGGATGAATTGTAAAGACCGTAGTCTCTTTAACTTTAATAGCAGCTGAGCTCCATGCGCTACCCCTAATGTCCAAGCTGTCATATTTAGTACCTCTAATCCATGCAATCCTAGAACTGCTTCGGTATATACATCTGCTCGTCCAACTAATCTTCCAGACTGTATAATCAATTCTCTGAGGTTTGGTAGCTGCCTTAAAACTGAAAATGCGTTTGCTTCGATGCCCCAAGGTTGTCGAGGAAATGGCCGGAATAGTTCCAACCGGGTTAAACTAGCCATTGCCTGCAACGAGGTGAAATCTTTAACAGTGACGTGTCCATCATGCTAAATTAGCATTCAGTTACTTTCATAATTGGAATTCGAATAGATGTAGGAATCGCATCCTTGCCAATATCTTGAATAAGTTCAGTGTCCCAGTTCCATAGTGCGATATTCTGTGGCTTCAAATAACCAAGAAACCCAGCAATCGAATCATCAGTATTTGTTTTTTGGAATAAATTTCTCTTTCCTTGGATTTCAATATTCCCAAATATAATCTTCATTTGTCTCGTCGAGTGGTTTAATCCTTTTTTAAGCAACTGCTCCATGTATGATGCCAAATGTCCCGGCTCGTCTGTAATCGCGTTGGCGTGTAATCGAATCTCTCGTTCCAATCCAATAGAATACTTTATGTTCTGTTCGCAACAAGTATCTGTTGATTTATCTTCAACTAGAGTTGCGGAAGATTTCCAATGTACAATAGATTTTTTAGGAATCGTGATAAAATAGAATCTCGGCAATATTTTGATTGATTCCTGTAATTGGATCAAGCAGGCGCTGTTTGAATCGTCCCTAGCCTCGTCATACACTATTTCCACGTTAACCAACAGCGGGATTGAATGCGAATATACAGCATTCCTGAATTGACGTGAAACCAATGGAAGCAATTTATAAACAAATTTTGGGCTTTGTACATACTGAAATATTGAGCATAGCGTTTCTAAAGACAGTTTTTCAATATGGCAGTTGATATTCATATTTAAAAAAATGACGTATCCTCTTGCGATCTTTGATAGTAAAGTAAACGGGAGATGAATTTGGTGAGCTCGTGCAAGCGTGGATAGCATTTGATCCAGCCCTCATGACGGTATCCAAAATCTCAAAACCAACCTGGCAGCTTTGGATTCTAGACGGCAATTTCGCTCAAATGAACCTAGCACTACTATATAATCACCTTCAAGTGCGGATACGTAATTTAACCTTTTTGAACGCGTAGTCAATCACATCAAATGTTATCAACCAATCATTCATGTGCCAAACCATCTCTGCGCAAGAGCAAAGTCAAAGAGCAAATAGAATACTGGGAAAATATTTCTAAAAATAGCCGTCCATTCAAGAGCGAAATCAATTGCGCTGTAAAAGCCATCACAGTTCAAGGACACGCGGTTATTCATCAAGTAGAGCTCCACTGTAATGAATGCGACTCTTGTTTTATAGTTCGCGCTGCTCATCAATGCAATTCAACGGACGAAAGTGGACTGGAATGGTTCCAATCGAAAAACAGCGAAAACGTAAACCTTGCCTTTTAGAAAAAGTAATAAACCCATTGTTTAGTTGATTTTTAACAGCTCAACTTCAAATTTAAGATCAGCCTTTGGAGGGATTCCAGCTGGGTGTCCTCTTTCACCATATGCATCTAGATTAACAAACAATTACAGTCATAGGTAATATCAAGGACTGCCTTTTCACCGAGAGACATTTGTGGAACACCTTCATCCCAACCCTTGATTACACGGCCAACTCCGATTTGAGTGACAAATGGCTCTCCTCTGTCAACTGAAGAATCAAACTAGCTTAGATCTAAAATACTTTCTTTCCTCCATCTTTAAATGTTCCGGTGTAGTGCATGGTGACGGTATCTCCCTTCGTTTAACTGATACTTACTTTCTTTGGGAAGTTGGATCCGTTTCCTGCTCTGATTACT